GTCACTGTTGTACTGCTGCAGCGCCGCAGCAGCGGCCGAGAGGGCGGCGTCCGCCTCCGCGTTCAAGGCGCCGCCATCCAGCGAGACCACCACCGCCGTGAGACGCCCCAGCCGCAACTGCAACGCACGCGCAGCCTTCTGCCGCTCGGCCGCAGTGACGTACTGCGCAAAGACGGCGCGAATGACGTCGACACCCAGGACGCGAGGGAGCAGCAGCATTGCCCAGTGGCAGCACGCGGGGGAAACGGTCGCCACCGTAGCCAGCACGTCACACACACGGTCGAGGGTGACGCGCGTGCCGAAGACAGCATCCGCACCCATTCCAACGCACATCCCCTCCACCATCTGCGCCAACATCACCTCCTCATCGTCGCACGCCTCTGTCTCCAATTCCTCGGCAGTAAAGAGAAATGTCGCAGTTTTCGGCCTTTTCTCTGCCACGGCCACAGAAGACGCGGCGCGCTGCTGGCATTCCGCTGCTGCTGCTGCCAACACATTGCAACTGATGTCCTTCGGTGTCTTCTCATCCAGCAGAATATTTTGCAGCCCACGCATGCGCCTCTCACTCGGTGACGGATGTGACACGTCCAGTGAAACAGTCCCCATCACTCGATCCACACGGTAGCCGCAACGAGTCGTCGCAAAGACGGCGCGCACAAGGATGTGCGCTATCACCTCAAACTGCGCCTCCAGCTGCCACAGCGCATCCAGCAGCTGATGCAGAACATCACTGTGCGAGGCTGGAAGTTCATCCGCCAGAGCAAGGAGCTCCAACACACCTGGCGACACCGGCTCCAGTGTGAGCAGCAGAGCCCGCGGTGATGGTCCAAGCGTCGACCCCTTCGCGAGTGCCGCCAGGAGACGCAATGCGAGGAGCACCTCGTCCCCCTCACTACTCACAGTCGACCGTAATGTCAGCGCACGAAACGCGGGAGTGAGGAAGTACCTGTTGTAGAGGCAGAAGTACCTGTATTTGCGGTCAAACGTGGTCTTTCCCTCGCTGCGGGGCGGAAGTCGCAGTGCCGCGTTGAGGATGGTCGTCACGGCCAAGTGTAGCCGCTCCTCAAGCGTCTCCGGCTTCACGAGATGTAGTCGACTCACATACTCCTGGTGCCGCTTCAAAAACGCGGGCAGCTGCGGTGCCTTCGAGCCTTGTATCTCCACTTCCTCTGCCTGGGAGGATGTCTCCTGGTGCGTCATGAGCGAACGCAACTGCGCGGAGAGAAGGCAGATTTGCTCCTCGGCAGAGACACCCTCACGGAATGTCACGGTGTACTCCGTCACAAGCCACGCGTGGCGCAGAGGAGAGATAAAGAGATACGCAATGTGCTGCGTAGCCTCCATCGTCATGTCATCCTCCACACGGTCGTTAAGCAGCAGCACACGCAACACCGCACGCACACCATTAGGGAGGGAGAGAAGCACTCCGTTAAGAAGGCTCGAAACAAACAATTTCTTCTGCTGAAAGCGAGGCGAGGCAAAGAGGCCTTCACTGATATGATTCTGCGACGTGCCACTCGCCACAGCAGCAGCGGCGGCGGTGGGACCGCTGCTCTCAAGAAGAAGCGGATACAGCGCCTGCACCACATGATGTGTCCGGCACACACGCGCGAAGCAGAGATACAGCAGCAACTCCGCACAGTACTGCCTTGTGTGGCGGTCTACGTAGACCCCCGAACTCGGAGCGCCAGAAAACCGCAATGACGGCGCGGCCGCAACAGACACCACGCTGTTGCGCAGAGAGGAATCATCCGCCAAAAACAGCAGGGCAGCCAAGACCTCCTGTAGGTAGTACCGCTCAACAAGCAGGTGAGATTCAGCACCAGCGAGATGGCCCTCGGCACCAGCGGAAAGAGGAAACAGCCATATGTCGAGCAACTGCATCAGCTGGCGAAAGATGATCACCTCTATTCTGGGTGCATCGTCGCGGAACGCACCCCGCAGGAGTGATCGCAGCGTTTCTGCGAGAGAGGCCACCTCATCGAGGCACTTCAGAGACACGCCACGAGGGTCCTGCTCCATATACAGCGAGCAAGACTAGCAGTACGACCAAAACAAAGAGGAAAAGAAAGGGAGAACGAGAGGGTGCGTGCAGAGTGGCACTGCAAACGGCACATGGCGAGAGAAGTGAAGAGAGAACCATTTGTAAAAATGACAAGGAGAAGGTGTGGTACCACCCTACGCTTCGTATCATCCTTCCTCTGTTTTGACAGCATCGACCGTGGTAGTGATGCCAGTAGTAGAAGCAGGAGTCGTCAACATGAGCGCAAGGCCATCAACCCATGTTTTTTGTGCGCACTGCAACTCCGCGACGCTCCACAGCTTCCCTTCCTCCGTTGCGTGCGGAGGCAGAGGGCGAACAGTGAGCGCCAGCACGCCTTCGCCGTAGTCGAGTGCGGTCAGAAGCGTCGACAGCACCCGCCACTGGACGTAGTTGTTCGCCGACGCTCCGGAGGGAAGCGCAAACGCCTGACTGCGGCACTCCACCACAGCGGCAAAGCACTTGTCGTTGCGCAGCCACTGCGCAGAGGTGAAGACGTCCCGCACAAGACGTGGAAACCCAACAAAGGACGCGAGTGGTATGTTTGTAGGCTCGCGCCGCACAAGGAACTCCAGCACCGCCTCCTCGTCTCCCCAGTTCGACGGGAGGAAGGCCGCAGCGAACTTCTTCAGTCCTTCCGCCGCGTAGCGCCCCACAGCAATAAGTTCCAGCAGGGACGCCAGGCACTGCAGCGGCCAAACGAACATGTCCGTGACGAATGCGCACGTCGATCCCTCCTGCGGCAGAAGTATTTCGCAATCGAGGCCCCACCGCACGCCACGCGCAACTTGCTCGTCACTGCACGTGGATCCCGCTCCCTGCGCAGCGAGCGCCGCCACACGCTTCCTCAGATGATGCTGCTGCTGCTGCTGCTGTTGGTGGCTACCATCACCATCGATAACGTCGCCACTAACTCCGTCGTCCTTGCGCGACGTTGGCGGCAGCGACGGCGCCGTTCCCTCCAGCAGTGGGAAAAGTACGTCTGTGACCACCTCGTAGCACTCCGCTGCATCCTCCACGGCGCACTCCACATGGCCGTCCCGCACCCGCCGCAGTGCCTTCAGAGCGATGTCCTTCACCACGGACGAGGCGGCATAATTTGGGAATATGGCCCGCGAGCCGATCTTGGCGGTGTCACGCAGGAGGTACCAATCGGCGTCCTCGCCCGCCTCCACAACGCTCAGCACCTGATCCCGCCAGTGCGCGCTCACAGCAGCCCAGCCAACATGCAGCGCTGCCTCACGTGCAGCCACGCGAGTGGCATCGAAGGCAGCACGTTTCTTGGCTAAACGTCGTCGCAACGTCTCCAGCTGCTTCTGCTGCTGTGCAGCCTCGTCGCTGTCGCTGGGAGTCTCACAGAGCCGCTCGAACATCTCCTCGTCACGCCCCAACACATTCCACAGCGCGAAACGGACAAACGGGGAGATATGCTGGAGGGAGCCGAAGGTGTCNAGATGCCGCTCAAGCACAACGAGGGCGCGGTACTGCAACTCCTCGTCCACGAGGACATCCTCCATGCCGGAGGACGTCGCCTTCTTTGGGTGCGAAAAGATGCGGTTCTCGTCGAGCGGTGGGCGGCGTTTCTTCGGCTCAATCAGCTGCACCGCCGTGTTGATCTCAACGTGCGGGTGCGGGCAGGGGAAGTGCACGACACGCCCGGCGCGCGGCTGGCGGTGCTGCTCCTCCGTGCGACGGTCGCCCTCGTAGCGCGGCAACACACTGAGCTGGTGCCCCGTGCGCTCGCTGTACGAGTAGGCGTGCAGCTCGGCGCCCCTCCGCACGTTGGCGTGCAGCTGCGCCTCATCGGTGTTCTCCTCTTCGGGGAAGCCAAACGCCTCGAGTGTTTGCTGGAACGCGCGGCACAGTTCAGACGCCGTCAAGTCGCGCGTGGCAAGCGACGTAAAGCGCTCCAGCATGGCGTTCACGTGCGGGTGGAAGACAGCAGCGAGCACCCGCTGCTCCGCGCCACCAAGTGACGCCGTCTCACGGCTCCAAAAGGCTTCTAGGCGCGGCTGCAGTGCAGCGATCATGTCGCAGCGCCGCTCCCTCGACCGCTCCATTGCAATGAGGCCGCATGTGTAGTGCAGCTCCTTCATCATGCAGGCGTAGAGCACCATGCTCACCTCACTCCACACAAACACACCAAGCGACTGCATTCCCGTGGTGTCCGTCCCCTCCTCCGAGCTGGAGGCGTCGCGTGTGTTGTTCCTACTGTCGTGATCGTCGTCCGCACTTGATGGAGAGTTCGACCGTTGCCTTTTGCCCATTGTCCCACGGCTCTATGCACTGACCTCGCAGACGCCGCGGCGAAGGCACAACAGAGACACAGAAAAAGAAGCCGAGAGCGATAATAATAAACACGAGAAAAAACAACCACACACAAAATAAGTTCATAATTCCCAAAAAAAAAGCAGCCGTGTGCCTTTTGTGTCTTCGTTTTCAACACACAGCAGAGGTGAGACAGAGATGCACGGAAGCCGGGCTCTCGTTTGTTTTCTTTTGCCCTCCGCTCTTCTTGCTTGGTTGCATTTATGCATCCGTGGGCTAGATGTAATCAGGGTTAGAATCCTTCACCTCCTGAATGAGGCGAATGGGGACGCCGCGGAAGTCAAACTCCTCCACCAACGTGTTCTTCATCATTTCCTGTAATGCCTTGGGCAATGTGTTCGCATCGTTTTTTGTCTGCAAGTGCAGCAAGAATGTTGGTGGACGGGTGTTGACCTGCGTGATGCGCCCCACACGGGCAACGTGATAGGGGATTATGACAGACTTCTCCATCTTGCGCCAGAGCCTCGTCAGCTCTGCGCGGCGCACTCGCTTGTTCCATTTGTCATACAACAACAACGCCTGGTCCATTAACAGTGTAAGGTTAAGTCCGGTGTGTGCCGACACAACGACGGCGTTGCTGTACTTCACCTCCTGTACCTGTCGCTTGATCTTGAAGTCAATTGCCTCAGCGGTGGCGCTTTGATCCAGCACCGCGTCCCATTTATTCGCACACAGCAGGAAGGGCCGGCCCTCAGCCGCGATGGAGTGCAGTATGGCCATATCGTACTTGTTGGGGTGCCCCTCCGTGGCGTCGAACACGACGATCACCACGTGCGCGTAGCGAATCTCGTTCACCGACAGGGCGTGGATTCGGCCAATGAAGTCGCGCTCCGCACGGTACCGGTGCCGCGCCAGGCCGGCTGTATCAATGAGCTTTAGCTTGCGGCCCTTGTAGATACACGACAGCTCCACGGGGTCGCGCGTGGAGTTTTTCTCATCCACAGCGCGATTGCGCTCAAAACCGACTAGTCTATTAATCAAACTAGACTTGCCGCTATTCGTCCGCCCAACAATGGCGACACGGATAAAGCGGTCGGTGCAATTGCGGTCCCGAATCTCTTCCATTGCGGCTTCGTCGCCTTGCATGGCGAGGTCCTCGATATCCCAGTCGTTCTCCACCTTCTGCATTGCGTGGATGTGGTGCAGCGGCTCCAGCACAGCCGCCAGCATCTCCAACCCGGACTTGCGACGCGCCGAGAATGGAATTGCGTTGCCGAGGCCGAGTGTGTTGTACCGCGCCAACACGCGATCCTCCTCCTCCAGTGGGACAAGATCCATCTTGTTCACAAGCACAAACGCCGGCATGCGCTTGAGCTGCAAGTAGTCGATAAGGTCCAGCTCCGCGGGTGTGATGTCCTCGTCAGCCGCCGTCACGAAAATAGCCGCATCCGCCGTCTCGACAGTGCGGAAGGCCTCCTCCACCAGCCGCCCGTTGACCATCCCCGGCGTGTCGATGACCGTAAAGTCCATCTCCTCCAGCTGCGCGCGACCCTCCACCGAGTCGCGGGTAATACCGTCAAAGTCGCGCACGACATTCTTGCGACCAGGCATCGTCACATCCTCGCTCAGCAGGTTAAAGAGAGATGACTTGCCGCAGTTCATGCGCCCAACAATCGCAACACGCAGCTGTTGGTCACCTAGCAGCTTCACCACCGGTTGCCACCCGGCAACACGCCGTCGCTGCTCGTCGGTGCGGCTGCTGTCACCCAACGCGGGCGAAATGTCGTTGAGAATTGAACCGGACCGTCGCACTTGCTCACGCCAGTCCGACTGGAGCCCATTCTTGATTTGACGCTCCCGCGGTAACGCAAAGAGTGAGGCGTCTGCTGCCCCTTTTATTGTTGTTGACGTTCTAGCGGTATTGTTCCGTGTGGTGGCGGTAGTTGACAGCGTGCGGCGGCCACGCAGGAGAGTCACGAGGCAGCGGCGCCTCATCTGCTGGGCGCCAGTCCGCTCTACTACGCCGCAACAAGGAGGAAGAAACAGATGCGGGGGGTCAACAGAGAAAAGTGACAGCACGTCTTCATACGAAGCTGTTCGTCACGAAGAGTGGATATGCGCACACCAAGGGAAAAGAGGACAAGGGAAGCAAAGCACATTTCCTGCTTTAATGCCATTTGCGTAAAAAGGGTGCTGTAACAGAGGCAGCTGTTACGGTATGTAGTTGAAAAGACGGTCTTCAACGATCTTACGAACCTCCTCACTCTTAGCATCAGAAAGGCAATGCTTGCGGATGTACTCAACGTTGTCTGCCTGATGCGGGTGGGTCGACATCACCATCTTCAACAGTTCCTCGTTCACCACGGATTTGACGAGCTGCGCGCGCACCACCGCTCGCAACGGGCGGCGGTCTGATGGGTCGTAGGTCTTGTTGGTGATAAAAACACGCACGGCGTCGATGTTCTCCCGCTCACAAGCGGTGAGGAAGAGGTGCTTCAGGTGGTGCTGCTCAATGACGCGCTCCCGGTTCTCCATGCGTTCAAAGAGAGGAGCCAGTGGCACTACATGGTTCTGCAACACCGCCGTTGCGACGAGGACAGCCAGCTGATCATCAGTGGCGGCCTCGGCAAAGCGCAGAACAGTGTCCGAGTCCCACTGCTGAAGGATGAGCTCAACAAAAACCTTGTCCTCCAGTCTGCCCGGCTTCATATCCGACTCGTGGGTCTGGAGAAACTGGGCCACGCCCTCTTTGTCGTGGTTGTACACGTAGCGGTGAAGAGAGTCACTGAGCGACTGCTTCTGTCCCATGTTTTGGCTCAGTTAGGACAAGGTCCCCTCCCTTCTCTTCTCTTTTTCAATGCTCCTCAACTTCTCTCTCTCTCTCTCTCTCCCTATAATATATATATATATATATATATCTTGTGGTCTCTCTGTGCTTTTCACCGGGACGATAACGCATCACGCACACACAGCATCCCCACACGTCGTCGAGAGAGACACAGGAGTGGAAAAGGAGCAATGAAAGGGGGTCAGAGGGAGGCACACACACACACACAGAGAGAGAGAGAGCGAGGGAGACACACACACACACACAATGAAGGCACTCGGCATCGAACAGTCATATCCACGCCGTTATACCACGTTGGCAGACCCTTTACACCTGTCTCTCTCTCTCTCTCCCTTCCTCACGCAGAGAACGCGAAAAAAAACATTCACGTGCCCATGCGAGGAGGCGCGCCCCTCGGTCCACTACTTGCAGTAATTTATGTTCACGCGCGAGAGCAGCGTCGGGATGGACGCGATGAGCGGACCGTACTTCGCCGTGTTCTCGTAGAGGTCAAAGAGCGGCGCCGCGACGAGCTGCACGTCGGGGTGCGTGACGGTAAGCATCATCTGCGGTGGCATGTGTACAAGAAAGACGGTGCGCACCTCCTTCACGTCGCTCTCCGGCACGTGGGCGGGGACGTACGGATACATCAACGGGTCGAAGTGCGGCCGGTACCACCGCGCCAGTGCCTCGCCGACACGAAACGACGACGACGACGACGACACGGCCGTCGTGTTGTGCGACGTGCCAACATCAACCGTTGTGTCGCCCTGCTCGTCCTCTGCTGCGCGCGACGTGGCGGGGCGCTTCACCTCGCTCAACAGGTCACGACCGAGCTTGCGCAGCAGGCACAACTCCTCCGGCTCGCCATTGCGGCAGCGCCCGCCCGGCAGGCGGAAGACGACCGCGTTGTTTGTGTGCGTCGCCGGCACCACCCGCGGCCGCACGGGCGTCTTGGTGCTGTTGTGCCGCAGCAGCAGCACGTGCGGGTGATCATGCACGTGCACGAGGAGGACG